ATTTCAATTCATTTTTAGCTTGAAACATCAATAAGGTCATGATGCCAAGTTATGCAGAAACTACTTATTTAATCATCTGGTCATATATTCAATAGAATGTTTAAGTAGAAACAGTCTAACAAGTGTATGACTAAATAATTAAATTAAAAACTTTGTGCATACATTTTAGCCATGCAGTTTACTAACGCTTTATGTTTTGCTAATGTGATACTTATGTTCTGAGATATGGTCCTTTAAATACATATCTGCATCATAATTGTATTTATGCTATTTTGTTGGGGGAGGAAGGGAAAATAAGTGAAAGTAAATGCTACTAGAATACTTGACTACCAGGCTAAAGCTAAAGCTTTTAATATTCTGCTACTTAGGTGCAGGCTTTGCTGCATTTGGACAGGCAAAACCAGTAGCAACCCCATTTGGGCAAGTTACAGCTGTCGGAGTATCTAGTAATCCTTTCATGGTAAGTTATCCCACATGATCTGGTGGTAGTATTTCAAATTTAGAGATCATATTGTTATATTATCGAACTGTCTTGATTCCATATTAATCAAGAAATAGAGGAATGATTTACGTCTCTGTTCTTAGAAGCAGTAACCTTATATGATATGTAACTATAACCTATTAAATATGGGGTTATACCTGATCCCAGTAATATACTGAAAAGTACATTTTCCTCTCTTTGCAATGTTCCCGTCCCTTTATTTCTGATTCAAGGAACAAATTGCTCCACGTTTTGTATTCTACCTTCTGTAGGCCAAATGCCAATTGCCAGATCTCCTTTCCTCTGCAGAACTGGGAAGCAAGGGATTCCCCACTTTTTCTTCCTCCCACCAGTTGCAGCCCAGAAAACAGCTTCAAGGGGTTAGATAACCAAGGGTGGGTTTTGATGGGTTTCAACTGTTTGGATTGGTTGTTCTTTACTTGAATAGAAAGTTGCTTGAGGAAAGTCTAGAAATAATCTCTTTATGATTATCCCTCTGTGTATGAACAGGATGTTATACGTTGTCTTTAATTAAAAATCTACATTGATAAAAATACCATCACGAGTACTGCAAGACGTGTTCTCTGTTCTGTGAATTCTGAAATTATGGTATTATCTCAGCTTGCATGATTTGAGTCTGTTGAGGTAGTATATTTTGTGTAATGGCTTTACATGATTATTTTGGTGAAACTTTTGTTTTCCTCCCACTAGGCAGGAGCACCAGCAGGGCAATTCCCAACAGGAAGTTCATCAACCAATCCTTTCTTATAGCCTTATAGACACTTTACCTAAAAGAACTCTTATGTGATCACATAACATCTCTGCGCCTCTTGCACTATTGTCTTGTCTCACTGACCTTAGCTTTAAACACAAGTCTTTCAAGAAAAAAAAAAGCCTGCATTGTGTATTAAAACCAAGGAACACCAGGTAATGTGCAAAACAGGGGGCTGTGATAATATCTTTTAATCTGTGCATTGGCAGGAGAATGTGAATGGTATCATGTATATTAAAATTGGCTAATATTAAGTTATTGCAGATACCACATTCATTATGCTGCCGTACTGTACATATTTTTTCTTAGAAATTAGTTCTTTGTGCATATCAGTATTTGTAACTTTTAACACATCGTTATGTGAAAAACGTTACTGAGGGAAATAGATCAGCCACTTTAAGGTGCTGTTATATCTCTTGGAATGAATGGCCTACATTATTTTAACCATTGCTGGTGGGAGTCATGAGTTTAAAATTGAAGGTTTTATTCATTTCTTGGAGTGTTTTTCTTTCCTTTCCTAAAGAGCTCTTCTATTTATACATGCCTAAATTCTCTATAACGTAGAGGGATACCTGTCCGCATAATAAAGCTGATCATGTTTTGCTACAGTTTGCAGGTGGAAAAAAAATAAACATTAGAAAAATATTTTTGTCTTGGTCAACATTTGCACTAATCAATTTTGTTAAACTTTCAGATTCAATCCCAAAAGAGATCCAATATTTTCTTGGTTATTTCAGTTACATTGTGAATTGTCGCCATCTGTTATATACTAGAAACACCGGTTAGTCAATAAAATGCCAAAATACTAATTGTTCCAAACACACAGCACATACTGTATTTTATTTTCTTACTTTGGTGTAAAAATCATAAAAGACTTTGCAGTTTGCTGCTATTTTATATCCTGATTAATTCAAAACAAACTATGAAAGATGGCATTACAGTGTTCCCTCACTTATTGCAGGTGTTACATTCCAGGAAAATCCGCAATGTAGGGAAACCCAGTCTGGATGAGAAGAAGAGCAAAGGATAAGGAGAAGAAGAGCACTCCGAGCACTTGGAGCAGGCGGCGACAGCGCAGCAGCAACTCCCGCCTCCTCTGCCTCTTCCTCCAAGGAAGAGGAGGAGGAAGAGGCAAAGGAGGGAGTTGCTGCTGCTCTGTCGCTGCCTGCTGCAAGTGCTTGGGGGTGCTCTTCTTATCCGCTCTTCTTCTCATCCGGCCTGGGCCGCGGGCCTCCCTGTTGGGCAAGTTCTCCCAAGCCCAGTAGCGGCTCAGCCGAGGCCTGTGCTCACCCTCTTCATCCGCCGCTGCCTCCTCCTCCTTCCCCCCTTCCTCCCCCAACTCCTCCTGGCCTGAAGGGATCAAGGCCCTGCCGCCTCCTGGGGCTCCAGCATCCTCCGGCCCCACCATTTGTCAGTGCCTGGCTCCCCCCCCCCCCCCCCCCCCCCCCCCCCCCACGGCTCCCAGGGGTGGAGGAAAAACCCGCAAAACAGCAAGGCCGCAAAGTAGCGGGGGAACACTGTACTGGTCAGTCAGCCAGCAAATACTTCTTGTTCTTTATATATTTTTCCCTGTTGCATGGATGATGTACTCCTTTTCTGCTGTTGCATTTTCTGAATTTAATTCTGTGTAAGATAAATATCAATCGCTTTCTTAGTCCATCATAAGGAAAATGATTTGACTTACCTTACAAATGTGTACAGGAAGGACTCCAATACTTGGTACATAACTCCAATACATAACTCCAATACTTGATACGAGGATTTATGCTTATGAATAGAAATGCATTCAAGCATAACCTACATGTTATATGCTTCCAGAATGAAGCAGATGTGGAAAATCTGAATGTGTCTTCAAGCATGGGTTGTGTATATGTTTCCAATGATCCTGAAATGCCAATCCTATACCTTTCTTCATATGTTAAAGACTGTTTCTTTTAAATTGCATTATATTCCTCCTTTCCACTAAAAATAGTGTTGCCAATTTCACATAAAAACATAAACAAAATTATCACTAAAATAATTAAAACAGTAAAACAATAAAAGAGACCAAAACAATTGAAAACATCAGGACAGTTTGAAGAGGGACTTTGTAATGCAGGTAAAACCTACAGGAGTAAAATTTGATCTCAGCTCTGAGAAGAGTGTATTCCATAATCTAAAAGCGAATCTTTCTCAAAGGGCTTAACCTCTATACATTCAAAAAATAGTAAGAGGGCCTCAGATCTTGAGTTTGAAATATATATTTAAAATCACCTTGAATTGAACCCAGAGAGCACTTCGTACTTTATTACAGTATCAGAATAATATGGTCTCAGTGCTCTGCAATACTTAGGTCAGATGCTACACATTTTGTACCTGCAGGAACAACTAAGCAATCTTTAAAGGTAACCTCATATACTCAATATCCTGTGTAATTATATCATGGATTATGTTATCATGCCAGGTAATTTCAGGGAAAAACATCACTGCTGCCATCTATAGCATGAAGGAACCAATACACCAGTTCATTTTAACCCCTTCCAGAACAGGTTAAATCCCAATCCCCAAGCTGTCTTATGAATAGCAGTATCTCCATCTTTTCAGGTTTTATAAAATGCTTATTTAACATGTATTTCCTTTCCAGAACCATCTTTTCACAGATTAAATAAATTATGGTATTACAGATTTTTGCTTTCTCTCCGTGCTGCATTTTCTTTACCTTCTGTGAGTAACTCTTAATAAGGAGTATATTAAATAGGAAATAAATAAGCCAACACTTTGTCTTCTGAGTTTCAGACAACACCCCCATATTTTGTTCATAACAAGATTTTGTGGAGCTATAAAAAGCACCCTGGTGTTCCTGCTGTCACTTTGACGTTCCTGTACTGTACAAGTGTGAATTCAGGAAAAGACACGTAAAAATTATTCATCCAATATATAGCCTTCACATATGTAATATTAAAATGGGCAAAACAGATTTCTCCCAACAGGTGGAGGCTCATTATTAACCTAAATTTAAATTTTAGATGAAAAGCTGATCTAATTATTTTTTCTCTATCACTTACATAGTTGACCTCTTGAATTTGCACATTTGCATTAATAAAATAAAAGCTTTAGGCAACATCTTCTCTCCTGTCTTTATCATTGTTAAAACAGGAGAGCCAACTCATCACCATACCCACAAGTTCACTGAGGAAGTAGAACTACCCTGTAAAACTTATGTTAACAACTTCATTCTTTCGGTCTCTAATATTTTGGGCCATTAAAGGAGTATAATAGTGCCTAAGGTAAGTAAAGCTTTGGCGATATTAGAACAACATCTGTCAGTGTTGGACTAAACTCAAATCTTCAAGAAATAGTCTTTTGTTGGAAACTTCACCTGAAGAGTTCTGGGTTCATGGTTCATATGCCTTTAGCAACTTATGTGGTTCCTGGATTAGTTCCTGGATCTAAATTGTATTGATCACATTTTCTAGTTCAGATTACAAGCTTTCTCTGTGTATTGTGATATTAAAAATGCAAGTGTACTGTTTTCCCTCGATCACTGTATGTACAAGGGACATGTTCTTAACATTCTTAAACAAACATAGCCAATATAATGAACTAAATCTGACATTTTACATTGCTTTGTGCAGTGTTATAATTCTGTTGTTAAATTGGATGATAATATGATTTGGTAACTTTTCAGTTTTGACATGTAGGGTAAGACTTGGTAAAGTCCTACAGGGAAACCTTCATCCCTGCTGCTTTTATTCAAGTACATGGATACGTGTTTAGTCTGGTCTCAGAGCTACTAATCATTTACTGAAAGTATAGTCCCACATTCACAGTTTTGTGCCATAGTCTTCTGTAGTCTGGTTCTCTGCTTCAGGCCTCTGAGGATTCAGCAACATTTTTTGGCATTTGATTGAGGTTATAGTGTAAATACTTCTGCACAGAAAAATTCCAGCTATCACTGCAAAGTAACTGCCATATATCAGGAACTGCAAGAAAGCAAACAGGTAAATAGTTTTTCTAAGAAAACATTTTTCTTACTGATAGATGTTTATAACACTCCTTTTATCTGTTACCTTGTGTAACCTTTTTAATGCCTGTTATAAAGGCAAGATTCTTGATTGTAGTGAAACTTCAACCTTAGCTGGCTCTAATCCCTGGGAATAAGTCCCACTATGGACTTCTGAATACATTTTCACAACATTGTACAGTTAAAAGGGATCTGCATCCTTGCTCGTGAGTGATTATCAAAAGGGATTTACTCAGTAATTTATTAAATCAAACATAATGTGCAATTATATCAAGCTACAATGTCCAGATCTTCATTAAATAGCCAGTTGGAACTGTAGGATTTTTGCCTATAATAGCATCTCTTTACTCATGAGGAAATCCATCCTTGCCCTTCCTTAAAAGCAGAGACTTGTGTTGTCCTGAGGATACTCAGGGAAATTGCTGACTGCACCCAAGGTAGCTTTATCAACAACTTTTGCATTTATTTGATAAGATTGCCTTTGAAATGTGTTTGGGAACTTATTTGGGGATGTTTCAAACTGGAAATAAATGTTTATTTCATGTAACTTTTTTCTCTCTCTTCATTTTTATTACTTGTTTTTCTGATGTATGCATTGATAATTACATGGGGCTGAGCAAAAATGTGAAGATGGGTGTGTTGTGTCCTAAGCATTAACCTGATCTGGATGACTTAATCAGTATTGTAGATTCTAAAAAGTAGGTAGACAGTTTGTTACCAGCTAACTTATTTTGATTTACCATATGTGGTTTGTTGAATGACGTGAATGAGGCCATAAATGTATTAACAGAAGTACCAACATAAGCCATAAGAAGGAAGGAGCAAAGCTAGATAAATGGAGACTTAAGGAAAGTTAACTTGGTAGTCAACAGTATACGTTCCATAATGAGCTGGGTCTCTGCCACCGAGCAGATGGGATTTGTAGTCCTTAGCAATGTAGTCAAGTGTTAACAGCTGTCCAGTGGTATGAAAGTGTTCATTTATATACTGATTTTGTTGGATACTTTTTACATTGTTTACATTTACTGAAGTATGAAACTCGGAAGAGATACGAAGGCCAACAGTAGACTAGGGGCATTCAGTTTTTTGCTGTAGTAGTCTCCTTGCATAGTTCTCGTAGCTATTGGGGAAGGTGGCTCATGCTTGTGCACTTTGATTTTCTTTGTTTGCTTGTACACTCTGTAACCCTTGCGAATCTATCTTTTGTTGGCTTCAGTCACAGGAGGCAGATGAAACACCACAAATAGGTAGCAATTCTGCCATTGTAAGGAAATGCTGGCTGCCCTCAGTGATGAAAAAGCTGGAATGCTTCTCTACTGCATACCATATGCGGCATCATTTACCACCGATGCAGCTTATTTTATAACAATAACATGTCAGTGTTTGGCACCAAAACAATTCTTAAGGAGGCCTGTAATTATAACCAGTTCTGGAACAGGGCATAATCCCCAACAATGCAATCCTGCAAATGTTTACTCAGAAGTTTGTTGTTTTAAATGGGGCTTTCTCCCAAGTAAGTGCATATAGCAAACCTATATTTAAGTGTATTCTTGCATAATGAAAATATTCTTACTCTTTAACAATAAAATGTAACACAGGAATTTAAAAAAACCCACACTTGTGGAGTTCCCTTCCCTCAGAATTTTGCATGTCACAATCTGGAGCTTTAAGCATGCCTAAAAGATTTTTCTAAACCCAGCAAACTTTATTATTGATTAAGTTGTTCAATGGGTATAGATAAAGCTAACATATTTTATGTTAATTTGGATATCTTGTTTTCATTGTTTTATTGAAACCTGCCTTCGGTAAGGTAAAATATCTTAAATAAATCATTGTATCAACAGTAATCTCTTAACTTCAAAGTCAAAGTATTGTAGAGTTGGAAGGGGCTTTGTGGGTTGTTAAGTCCAACTCCTAGTGCAATGCAGGATCCCCAGCTAAAATATCTCTGGCAGGTACCTTTGTGAAGACTTGAGAAGTTTCCAAGCAAATCATGGACCTGTCAAATAATGTTCTTCTCATCTATTACACATTTGATCAGTTTGCTAATCAAAATATTATGAGTCACCAAATCAAATATTTTGTTGAAATCCAATTAAATGACATCCACAGCATTTCTACTATCTATTAAACTAGTGACCTAGCTTTTTTAAAAACACAAGATATAAAAATAGTTTGGCAGGATGATCTTGACAAACCCATGTTGTCATTATTATGCCAGACTATAATCTGTTCTGTAGTTTCCTGGATTTCCTTTCTTCCTTTTTTGTAAAGGGACACTCTTTTTCCTCCCCAGTTCTTTGATACTTTACTTGTTCACTGCCCTTTATCAATAATGATGTTGTGCTTCACAAAGTACACCAACAAGTTATTTTGGTATTTTGAGATTCAGTTCATCTAATCTTGTAGATTTGAACTCATTTAGGATAGCTAATTGACTCCTGACTAACTTACTAACAATCTTGATTTGCAATCCAGATCCCTTTCTAGTTTCTGTAACACATCATGGAAGCACATAGTTCTCATATTGGGAGGAAACTGAAACAAAGTAGGTATTGAGTAGTTCTGCCTTTATGTTGTAATCTGTTGGTGTATTACCATCCTTCTTGATCATCCATCCCACTATCTCCTTTGTTATTCTCTTGAATGTATATGAAAAACACTTTTTTGTTGTTCCTTGCTTGCCTAGCCAGTCTCATTCAGTTTTGGACTGTACCTTCCATCATTCCCAGATGGTTAGGGGTACACATCCTTAAGGATGTTAGCCCTAGGAATAACATGAAACACTTAAATTGACTTAGCAGTGGTGCCTATGCTGTAACATCAGTAGTCTACATTACCTGAGTCTCAATATCCAATCCCAGTCCTTTGGAATCAACCACTATAACAGTGATAATTGTCTGGATTAGTAGTGCCACAAAATTGTTGAATCCAAACATTAAAGCATAGCGTTCCATGCTAAGGCTGACAGCAATCTGAAACCTAAAATCAAACTCTTGTTAGAACAGTAGCACACGGTAGCTGTACCTTCATATTTCCTGGGTAGGTAGAAATAATCCCATTAGTAGAAAGTATAATGAATGTATTTTACCAAATCAAAATGGGCAAAAGGTTCTGAGTAATGAGCTTGGCTGAAGTCCATGTGCAATGAAAGCCATCCCATTATGATGAAGTAGTTCAAGTGTACCAAAACAGCCTCCAATAACAATGTATAGCCACTGTTACAGCCAATTGGGTCAGATTCCCCCCCCCTTTTGTGGAATTGACATAGGCATTTTGGAGTAATGTGCATATACATCAATTATTATTATTTACTATTTATTTATTTTTTAATTGTTTTATTGGTTTTTTCCACTCCCACCCTCCCCTCCTTGTACATGCCATTTATACATCAAACTACAGAAGTTACATTTGAAATATCAGTCTCAGTCTTAATTTTTCTGCTCCACATCCTAACACATTCTCTAAATAATTCCGAACTGGTTCCCACATCCTCTTAGTTATTGTAACCTTTTCAATTTTATCTATATTATTCCATTTGCAATTTGTTATTTCCACATTTAACATATTCACTATATAGTTATACCAATTAATCAGCGTCCATTTTGTTTTGTCTTTCCAACCCCTCACTAAAACAATTTGTGCACAAGCAATTAATTTGTCAACCATTTTTTCCTTTTGTATATTCTTCACTCCTGCTATTCGTGCATGTAGTATATTTCTATTAATTATTACTATTTGTAAGTTTAACATTCTATTGATTTCCCCTTCAATCCTTTTCCAGTATTCTTGCACTTGATCACATTCCCATATCATATGATTAAACACCCCTCTTTGTTCACAGCCATGCCAACACCTATCCTTTATCCCTGGTACAAAGCGTGAAAGTTGTGCAGGAGTTCTGTACCATTTTTGTAACATTTTCCTTCTTGCTTCCCTTAATACATTATACTTTTCTTTTGCTATATTACTTATTTCCCTTTGGATGTCTTCCCTCTCAATTTCCATATCCAATCTCCATGTTTGGAAAATTTCCTCTATTATTTCTTCTTTTACTGTTATAATTTGGTCGTACAGATCTCCTGCCACTTTCTTCTCCCCTCTCAAACATTTCCTAATCACCTTCTCAAATGGACTATCCTGTTCTCTAATTTTCCCCCTCCGTCTAAAAATTTCCTGTCTTATAGCCCAGCTTTGAATCCATTGATTGTAAATGATATGATTATAACTGTATTTGTGTTTGCACTGGTTGCCCTAATGCTGGAGCGGCCTAGCTGTGAGGAGTGTGTTACCATGGAAACGATGCTGTAGAGAAGTGGGAGGAGCTTAGAGAGGAGAGTTTTGAAAAGCGACAGTTAAAGTCAGTTGGGCTTTAGGCTCAGAGGAATGAAGAGTCAGGTTTTAGGCTCAGGGAAATGAAGTGTTGAGAGAGAGAGTGGGAAGTAGAGAAGCAGTGTTTGTGAATAGTCAGAGGTTTCTTCAGTTTAGGAAGGCTGAAGGGGAAACCTTATTAGTTTCATTAGTTAGAGAAGACTAATAGAAGCTTGTTTAGATCACTAGTTAAAAGTGAACTAGAGATCTGAGGTTTGATCACGGAAGGATCAAACAGGAAGACTATTCACCTCAGGAACCATTGTTTAATAAAGTGCTTCACCACAGCAAAAGTTATTGATAAGTTGTAACATCAGAAGTCTGTACTGTATCGCAACCAAGTTATATGTAACGTTCTCCAAGTATCTTCCAAGTTTATCACCAAACTGCAACCATATGCTTTGTTTCAAAATAAACTTGTTCTCTTTGATTTTAAGACTGCCTCATCTCCATTAATTCTGCGTTCAGTGTGCCCAATCTCCCAAAATTACCTCACATCACAGATTGGTGGCACCATTAAGAATAATAAATAATAAATCGAAAGTTCTCTCTCCTGAAACCCCTTTTCTTTGAAGTGGGGCAACCCCTTTGCACCAGCTTTGAATCCAATTCCCTGACCCTATCCAATTCTGAATTTCTTTTTGTTCTACGGGGTTTCCATCCTCTGTATATAGATCCTCTACTAACCTTTTCCCTCTGCTTTCAATCAGTCTCAATGTTCTGCCTATCATTTCATCATTATTATAATTCATTTGCCATATAGTTGCCATCTTATTCTCATTACCTGGATTTAACTTCTACTTTCTTTTTTTCCACACTTTTACTGTTCCTTTAAAGGGTTCCTTAAGTTCTGTTTCCTCTCTCCTCTTCCATTCCCTAAATATTATTTCTTTTCCTTTAATATTATCTCCATATTTACCCATTTTTTTTCCGTATACTGTATTTCCAGCAATCTTTGAATTTGAAATGCATTATGATAAACTTCCAGACTTGGGATCCCCCAGCCTCCCTCTTCTTCTTTTGCATTTAACCATTTATCCCTTATTCTGGGTCTTTTCCCGCCAACTGCCCATATTCTTATTCTTCTGTCCCATGTCTTTAATGTTTTCCTCTCTACTGTGTTTGGTAAGGTTTGGAGTAAATATAATAATTTCGGTATTATGAACATTTTCAATGCCCTTATTCTGTCCACTCTTGTTAATGTTTTCCCTTCCCAGTTCTTAAGTTGCTTCTCTATTACTTTCCACTTTTGTTTGTAATTCCCCTTAACTATACTCTTTGGATTTTTGTATACCCATATTCCTAAATATTTTAGCTTCTTTGATCCTAATTTTAATCCTGATATTTTCCTAATCTCCAATTGTTCTTTTGGTGGGGTGTTAATACATAGTATCTCTGACTTTTTGATGTTAACAAATAATCCAGATATATTCTTAAACTCTTCTAATTTTTTTATCATATCTTTTATCATGATTAATGGTTGATTTGTAATAATCATTGCATCATCAGCAAAGAGATTCAGCTTTATTTCTTCCTTTTCCCCTCCCTCCTTTTCTATTTTATATCCTGTCCACTTGGTGCTATTCCTAATACTTTCAGCTAGTATTTCTATCGCTATTACAAATAAAGTGGGGGATAATGGACATCCTTGTTTTGTACCATTTATAATGGGTATCTCTCCTGTCCTTCTGTCGTTAACCCTTACTCTTGCCTTGCAGTTACTATATAGTTGCTGCAATGTTTTACAAAAGTTTTCCCCCATATTCAACTGTTGACATACATTTAATAGAAATTTATGATTGACCTTATCAAAGGCTTTGTAAACATCCAATTTAAGAATTCCAATTTTTTCCTTATTCAAATTTGCATGATTCATTGCGATTACCACATTTTTTATTGGATCCCCAATTTTTCTTCCCTTCACAAATCCATATTGATCTTCTTTAATTATTTTTGGATTATTTACTATTTATTTATACCCCATTTTTTCTCTACAAAAGAGACCTCAAATCACAAAATGGTTGCAGTGGGATTGAATAAAATGCATGTTATGAAGAAAGGACATGCAAAGTTTAATATCGGAATCACATTCCATGTTTCCTCTTAAGTCTGCAGAGAAATAGGAACTTGAACATAGTTTAGGTTTATTTTATTCATAGTTAGTGTGAACAGCAACTGCCAAATTAACTCATTGCATCTATTGTGCAAGAATTTTTATGACAAGGTATGCTTTTGGCCTATTTGCCTTTATTGCACTCCTGAAATACTATAAATATTACTAAGGATATAAAATAATTTCTCCAACGTAATGGACCAAACTGTGGCAAATTTGCATGAGGCTGTACACACTCACACCCACACCAATACACAACTACACATACAGACGGATAATACTTACTTACGTGGCTATAGTTATAAGGAACATATAGCATGCTTTGAAAACTAGATAGCCAGCATAGCAGACCCAGATGTTATTGGTGAAATGCATCAGAAACAATGAACCAGCATCCAAAGCAGAGAAGATTCCCAGGGCTAGCTCCCCTGTGAGATCCCAATTCATTTTCACAAATCCTACAGTCAGTGATGTTATTGAACCTGGAAATAAATAGTGTTTTGTGACATTTTGTAGAATCAAAAGCTCACTAAAAAGGATTTTAAAAATAACCCATTTCCTTAACTAAAGTATTTTGGTTTAACATAGCAAGTTGTCTTGATCACTTCTTTCAATAGGAAGGTGGAATCAAAATTATCCTGATAAATAATTCTGTAAAAGTAGTTTAAATTTCTCTGAAACAAGTCTTATACATTTCTGATAGCTTGGTTTTTCATGTCTTTAGAACTTCCAAGTATCTCTGTTTTAAACAAAATTACAAAGGTAAAATAGATAAATGGTATTTACTCACTAGCATTATCCTTTCTATTCCGACTGATTCATTTCTTGATTATATTTCCCTTCCACTTTCCCAAGCATCCAAAACGACTCACAAAACCTAAAAAACACACTGACAATACACAATAGCTATTCATCTATCACCTAACCAACAGAAGATAGCCAAAAACGCTGAATTAGAAACATAGTTTTGTTACAAGCAGACATAATCCATGCCAAAAAAACTTTTTCATATTATCCTCTAACAGAGGGCATATAGACAATAGAATGATAAAGTTACAAAGAACCTCAAAGGTAGATCCTTCAACCTCCTTCCCGTTTTGAAACAGGGTGCGTGCAGATGGCCATTGAGCCTCTGCATAAGAGCTTCTAATGATAAAGTAGAACGCAAGCATGCAGCATTATATCACAGATCCAGCATGACCTGCTTTCCAATCCTTGGCAATGTGTGGGTGATGTTTTCTGTACCTGTTGCAGCAGTATTATGTCCTATCTGTTTTTCATAGGTTTCTGTAAATTCTCAATAATTCTTTTCATGTTTGTCAGTGGGAAAATCAGGCAAAATTCCATCCACTAATTAAAAGGGGGAAGAATTCTTATGAATTCTTTCTATCTTGATCCTGTTATATAGTGTTTAATATAAGGTGTTGTGTGCCTTCAAATCATGTTCAGCTTATGACACCTTTCATGGGACCGTTAGGGACTGAGAGTGTGTGACTTGTTCAAGGCCATCCATTGGGTTTCCATGGCTGAATGGGGAATCAAGTCCTGGTCTCCAGAGTACTTAAAACCCTACATCACGGTAGCTCAAGACAAATTAATCATTCAGCCTGATGAGTCTGGAAAATAAATTTAACTAGTTAGAAAATAATTTAAATTTTGGTTCATATAAGTTCCCTAACATTTCAAAATCAGGTGACTCTGATTTTGTTCCATTGAGACGTTATTTTACCAGTGTTGAAGAAGACAGATGCATATAGCAATCAATTTGGTTGTTGTACATGGAATGGGGAGAAGGTCATCTTGTTCTTCACCTCAGACAACAAAGTATCTTGCACCAGCCTTGCTGGCCATGTAGTTGCTATTCCACAACTTGATATCTCATGATGGACTATGCTAGGTTCATCCCTGCTTTAAGGACTGAAGGAAAGTGCCTAAGTGTTGCTAAGCCTCATAATTGTATTAGAGAACTCAGTCATATTTGGAGGTTTTGGGTAACTCATCTTGATGAGGACTCATTTAATTTTTTTAAAAACCTATGGCTCATTGACGTAATATTTTATTGCTAGAATTCATTCAGGTATATACAAAATGTCCCTATCCATTAGAAATCTTCTACTGCATGTCAACAGAAGCCTCAGGTCTGTTATGTTGATGTATACATTTTCACTACGTACCCCAGCCTTCCTTAAAATAATTGCAGATTTGTGAATATCAAATTACTTGCACTTTTCAATCCATGTGGAGTTGTTCGGATTATGTAACACTTGTGTGAAGAGTTCTTATATTTTGCTTGCCCTAGTCAACTCTTTTAGACTGGATAGAAAAATAAAACCCTGACTACATCTACATTTCTGTTGATGCAGAAGATAAATTTAAATCACTTACTTACTTAAAAATGTTGCAATGGCTTCAACAGCTCCATTGTAAACGTCAGAAGTACGAGAAGGTGCTTTAGCATCCCACAGTGCTTGAATGTAATTCAAAATCTGATTATAGCCCGCAGTGGCTAATGCCCACCAAAGTGACCAGTATAGAAGTTTCCTTGTAGTATAGCATTCCTTCAGGTCTCCACATAGTTGCAGGAGCACTGCTAGAAAGTGATTTTGACTTTGGAGTCTTGGTAGTTGGTATTCAGGCAAGTTCATTGAGTTGACTGGTAGCACTGTAGTATCTTTGTCTTGGTGGTAGTTTGGCTGGCTAGATACATTTGAGGGATCCTTATCTGATCCAATGGAAATATCTGCAGAAGATTTTTTATTGAAGAACATACTCTTTTGAGGCATGGGCAGAGAAAACGAAGATAAAAATGCAACAGAGACAGAAGCCAGTGTTATGGCATTCAGGTAAAAATATGATACGTAGGCTAAAGAAACTAAAAGTTGCCCCAGTAGGAAACCCATGGTAGATGAAACTAGAGTGATGCTTCTACAGTAACCTGTTACTTTCTGGTAATGTTCAGTGTTAACCATACTGTATATATAGGCATAATAGGCAACCTCTGTGGCAGTCACAAGTCCATAGAAAAACTCCATCAGCTGCATGGCTGACAGACCGTGTGCAAATAACAGCAACAGATAAGTAATAATAAAGCTAATTCCTTGGAGAATTATGACGGGCTTATAGCGTACATAGTCTGTTAGCAGGAACACGGGGAATAGCAGTGCCAAATATGAATATGTCCAGACTGGAAAAACATGTTGCGTTACCTAAAAGGTGAAAGACAGGATTCTGTTAACATAGAGGAATACACATTTAAGACATGCAAAACATAAGCACATGGTGGAATTTAAGGTTATAGATTGGACCTCTTTGTGAAACCCTAGGCATGGAAATCTAGACTTTGCAGTGAAATTGCCATCAGCCTTAGCCAGCATTTTGAATCATAAACTATTATCAGGATAGCAAGGCAATAACATCTGAAGGCACACAAACCTCTCTACCTTAGAGCTGGTCTGGGGAACCACTGGCTTGCTAGCTGTTTTAGCCTGCAGTTGCCAGAATCTAGAGAAATTATGCCCTTTGCCCTCAGAAATTAATGCTGGGGTAAAGAGCTGGAAATGTGGAGATAGGTAAAACATCAAAAATCCAATCAGAGTGGAAGGATTTAAGAGAAGCTTGCAGTAGAGTTCTAGTCTCCCACTTAGGTCAGTCCATAACAGTTCCAACTGTCTGCAGTTGCCTCTATATACGGACCCTTTTCAATCCCAAGAAAGAGTTTATTGGGGTAAATGGTTGTCTGGGAGCACTAAAAGATCCACTGGGATGATAGTGTTCACTCACAACTAGGTAAAGTTTTCTCTTGTCATTAAGTCTAGTCGAGTCCGACTCTATGGAGTGGTGCTCATCTCCATTTCTAAGCTGAAGAGCTGGCGTTTCCTGTAGACACCTCCTAGGTCATGTGGCTGGCATGACTGCATGGAGGACCATTACCTTCCCGCTGGAGTGGTACAGATTGATCTATTCACATTTGCATATTTTTGAACTGCTAGGATGGCAGAAGCTGGGGCTAATAGCAGGAGCTTATCACGTCCCACTGATTTGAACCGCTGACCTTCTGTTCAGCTTACCACGTCCCGCTGATTTGAACCGCTGACCTTCTGTTCTGCGTCACTCACAACTACAACTTGGAAAATCCTCTTTTTCCAACCCCTACTGTATAATGAACCAGCTGCACTAAATATGAGCCAACTGCAATAAAGCATGATATGTATCTCCATATACATAACAATCATGTTTCCCCATACCTCATCAATGGTCAGGTTCTTATCAGGGCCAGCAAGATAAGGAACCAGAAAAGGCTCAGATGGTTTCATCATGCTGAAGAAACCATATATGCAAAGAACAGACGTGGGGAAAATCCATCCAGTGTTTTGCATTTTCTTCCAACAATCCATGCTTTGTTCTTACGCCTAAAATAAAGGAAAAAGTACACAGCATCACATAATTCATTTTGAATGAGCATGCACTCAGACATATATGCACAGCACTTCTGTGTAGTGTAATTCATTGTATTATTTGCCTTGTAGAGCTGCATCTAATGGACAGCTGTATATTTCCTTGATCAGTTCATTTGCTTTTTGACAAAAATCAGCCCAGTTTCCAGTCCTCAAAGATAATAGAAGTAAATGGCAGAAAGCTTTACTCTTGTTCTGTGATTGGTAGATTCATAGAGTTGGAAAAGGCCACAAAGACCATCCAGTCCAACCCTGCTATGCAGGAATCACAATCAAATCATCCTCGACAGCTGGCCATCCAGCCTCTGCTTAAAAACCTCCAGAGAAGGAGACTCCACCATGTTGCTTCTGATTTATGGTGTCTCTATGCAGAACCTATCATGGGGTGTTCTTGTCAAGATTTCTTAGAGGAGGTTTGCATTTGCTTTTCTCTGAAGCTGAGAGCATGTGACTTGTCCAAGGTCACACAGGGAGTTTCCCTGGTCTCCAGAGCCATAGTCCAATGCTCAGACCATCACACCAACCTGAAGACAAAGTGAAGGGGAGATTGAGACCAAAGGAATCTGGCTTAAATGACATTATACACATTAAATAGCTTAAATCTTATTCCTGTGGGGTTTCTTCAGGCTTCTTCAACCACAAGTAGATCAACTGCCAGGGAGGAGATCCTCCCCAATGCATTATTAAAAAGCACTGAACCGCAAAGGAGCAGCACATGCACAGACATGTTTGAGAAACCAATGAGCTACTTACAGACTTGTTAACAGCAACTCTGGCATTTAGGGAGGAGACAAAATCTACGAGGGGCATTCATTAAAGATTTCCCCTGACCCACTTCTATTTATCACAGGACACCAAAAATGTGGTTGGTCCCAGTTTCTCATTTCAAAATAAGATCCAATGTAATTGCAGCAGCTGCATTTACCCTCCACCCACATTCCAAGCAAGCTGCCAGAATACAACAACAACCTGGCATGTCCTCTCTGTGACACCTTTTTTTCCTTCTTCCTCCTCTCCCCACTTTTCACTCGCACATAAGAGGCTAAAACAGAAATGGGATATGAGGATTTCATTAAAAAACGGCAAAGTGGAGGCAGTTAATTCTGCCCACCCTAATCAAAATAGTGTGTGTGGCCACACTTCTGCATTGTGCACCTGGTCTCAAAAAGGGAATGAAAGAGGATGTATGTGTGTAGTTAACTGAGGCATAGAGAGGGAAATTTAGAAGCAATAACACATGACTTTAAAAAATCAAAGACATGTCACCATAGTGCAGAAGTCTGTGACCAGATGATACCTGAATGATAAGTATGCACTGTATATGGCTAATTTCAAGACATCTGGATCTCCTGGTTGACAGCTGAGGGGGGGGGGGGGGCAGTTTTTCAAACACATTTTTCCATGGACAGGAGCTCAAAGTTGTATGTTCTTAGTACATCTTTCCAAATTGAATTAGCAACTTTGCCTTTGTGCATATTTTTTTGTTGTTTATTCGTTCAGTCGCTTCCAACTCTTTGTGTTCTCAGGACCAGCTCATGTCAGAGCTCCCTGTTGACTGTCACCACCCCCAGCTCCTTCAAGGTCAAGCCAGTCACTTCAAGGATAACATCCATACATCTTGCCCTAGGTTGGCCCCTCTTCCTTTTCCCTTCCATTTTCCCCAGCATCATTGTCTTCTCCAAGCTTTTCTGTCTTCTCATTATGTGGTCAAAGTACTTCATCTTTGCCTCTAATATCCTGCCCTCCGGTGAGCAGTCGGGCATTCTTTCCTGACTAGCTGGTTCTTCTTGCAGTCTAAGGCACTTTCAGAGTTTTCCTCCAACACCACAGTTCAAAAGTGTCTATCTTCCTTCGCTCAGCCTTCCTTATGGTCCAACTCTCGCATCCATAGGTTACTATGGGAAATAACATTGTTTTAATTATGCGAATCTTCGTTGCCAGTGTGATGTCTCTACTCCTAACTATTTTATCAAGATTGGTCATTGCTCTCCTCCCAAGTGCATATTAATTTCATGTATTTAGAAATGGTTATATATTATTTTTAATTCCTTATTACGTACAGATGATTGTGTGACTGTTAGTACACACCACTGATTCTTATGGCTGACTCTAGAACCTTATCTTAAGTATCTGATAAATCCTGACACTAACATTACAGCTATAGAACACTTGCTATGTTGAGACGGAACACCCTCCATTGAACACCCTTCATGTTTCTCATCCTATCTGATGTGGTGGACCAACATTTTTCTCCAACATGCCAAGAGCCAGTACCATAATTGTATCATATTATTATCCCATTTACACAGTTTACCAGAAACCCACTGCGGGCTGGCAGTCAATGTTTACAGACCAGTGCCAGCTTGCAGACCACAACTTTGAGTGGCACTGGTTTAGATGACTTTCTCCACACTTTGCATTTTTATTCTAGGAAAAATCCAGCTGCCATTGTATTCAACTCTTGAATAAGCCTTGGTTATCATCATTGGTATTAAGCTTATATGTCTGCAAGGCCCCATCTATACTCCCCTATATCTCAGAAGCCGATCCCAAATTATCTTCTTATCCCAGATTATATGGCAGTGGAGACTTATATAATCCAGTTCAAAGTAGATAATCTGAGATCAGATCCTAGGATATAAGGCAGTATAGATCCAGCCTTTTCTACATAATGAAGACAACAGAAACCCAATTACATAATAACATGCATTACCTACTTCTTTGTAAATTTATATTATCAAAAAGAATTATAGCTGTTCTCACTGGCAATCAAAAAGAATATAACACAAAACACTTTAGAGCAGTGGTTCTCAACCTTCTTAATGCCGTGACTCCTTAATACAATTCCTCATGTTGTGGTGACTCCCAACCATAAGATCATTTTCGTTGCTACTTCATAACTAATTTTGCTACTGTTATGAATCGTAATGTAAATATCTGATATGCAGGATGTATTTGCATTCATTGGACCAAATTTGGCACAAATACCCAATACCCCCAAATTTGAATTCTGGTGAGATTGGGGCTGGGGACTGATTTTGTCATGTGGGAGTTGTAGTTGCTAGGATTTATAGTTCATCTATAATCAAAGAGCATTAGGAACTTCAGCAATGATGAAATTGAATCAAACTTGGCACACAGAACTCCAGTGACCAACAGAAAATACTAGAAGGGTTTGGTGGTCAATGACCTTGAGTTTTGAAGTTATAGTTCACCTACATCCAGAGAACACTGTGGACTGAAAAATGATGGATCTAGACCAAACTTAGCGCAAATACTCAATATGCCCAGATGTGAACACTGGTGGAGTTTGGGGAAAATAGATCTTGACATTTGGGAGTTGTATTTGCTGGGATTTATAGTTTACCTACAATCAAAGAGCATTCTGAACCCCATCAACGATAGAATTGGGCCAAACTACTCACACAGAAACCCCCCCCCCCCATTACCAGTAGAAAATACTGTGATTTCTGGTGGTCTTTGGTGACCCCTCTGACACCCCCTCGTGGCCTCCCCAAGGGTCCCGACCCCCAAGTTGAGAAACAGTGCTATAGAGAAAGGTTGGGTAAATTACTTACCTGGAAACCAGCTTGACTCTCAAATGCTTAAAGCTCTGGTGGGTTCCAAGTTTTTCCAAATATTCATTCAGACTGCTTTTATACCTTTTTATCAAAAGCACACACATTTCACTTCAAGCCTTCCCATTTTGATTTTTTTAAAACCTTGCAGTTTTACTACAAAGCAAAGCACACCACAGGAGACTGAACTATGTAGGTTGGAACAACCTCAGCACATTCCTTCCGACCAGGAAGGAAAAACTGGATACTGTTTAAAGCTTTACAGATTTTATCATTAAGGGTGACTTTTGTCCTTCTAGCTTACAGTGTCCTCAACATATGTAAACAAGTTTTTAACACAGCTTGGCAATTAAAGATTTTAAAAGTTCCAATTATTTAAAAAGCCAAAAAGGCAACTTTTGTGAGTTAATGGGTAATAATAAGTAGTCTAAAATCATTATATGGCTAAGAAAAAGAGATGGAAAATGGCAGTATTTAGAGTCATATCTTAGTAAAGGAAACATTCCACCTCATAACTGGTATTAAAACCATCAAAATAAAGAGAGATCCCTGTAGAAAAACAAAAAACAAACATGCACTCAAATCCTCTACTCCATACCCCCTTCTCTCCCCATCCTCTACTCACTAATATTCCTTGAACATCACATGTTTACTTTTGATACTTTTTTCTTTTTTAAAGTGAGATTTCTTACATGTTTGGCAAGATGGGTCTTTCTCTTAGGGATGCAGAGGGTAATTTAACACTGTTGTTAATATGCCAGCGAGTCAACATTGACTTTTTGCAACCCTATGAACAAGAGCTCCCCACACCCCCACACCCCATCCCCACACCCCCTCCCCGGTGCCCCAATATTCTTGTTAACAGGGCTACTAAGTCTTCAAAACTCAAGGCAGTGGTTTCCTTGATTTGTGTCCCCTGACAAGGAACTTAGCAAGCATACCTTTTTTTTTAAAACCCTTTGATTTCCCGTCATAACGATAGAGGCTTCATAATAAGGAAATGCCTCCAGTTTTGCCAAGAATTTCAAAACTACAGCATGTAAGCAACCCGTACACAGAAATCTGTTATTGTGTATTAGTAGGACCAATGCCTTTTTTCTTTCTCTTTGCATCTGATATTTTTTTAATATCAATCAAGATATCACAATTTTTATTTTTCTATGTAGTTACCTATGCTGTTTCCTCAAGTTCCTTGGTTGGCCACGAAACCAATGATATCTTCTCTGCTATTTTTATTTCAATATAGTAGTCACTCTTTTTTTCTTTCACATCTTTCTTCCAAACAAGTTGACTTCCCAGGTTTCAGTTGTCTTGATTAGGAGGTTATGAAATAGGTTTTGTTCAGTCTTGTTTCTTACTTACTGTGGCTGTCTTCTTGGAATTTCTCATTCTAATGGATTCCATTTCAAATGTATATTGTGTTGTCTAAATCTTGTTGCTTGTTCTACTGTACTATCTTCAGTGTGGTTTCGTCTCTTTGCTCACTCGGATCCTGTTACTCCAGTCTTGCAGCTTCTAAAGCTGTCACCTCCTTAAAACAACTGGCTCTGTTTCAATGTCTTCCTTTTCAATGAAGTGAAAACATTAAAGGGTCCAGTATCTGCAAAGTGCAACCTACGTATTGTTGAAGGCTTTCATGGCCAGAATCACTGGGTTGTTGTGTGTTTTCCAGGCTGTATGGCCATGTTCCAGAAGCATTCTCTCCTGACGTTTCGCCTGCATCTATGGAAGGCATCGTCAGAGGTTGTGGGGTCTGTTGGAAACTAGAAAAATTGGGTTTATATGTTTGTGGAATGTCCAAGGTGGGAGAAAGAACTTTTTGTCTGTTTGCGGTAGATGTGAATGTAGCAATTGGCCACCTTGATTAGCATTTAATGGCCTGGCTACTTATAAGTCTTCCATTACTTATATGTTGTCTCACCATTCAATTGATCTACTCTATTTGGGACTCAATAAAAGGATTCCATCATTAAATGGAAGACATGCAGGTTAGAAGAACATTACAACCTATGGAGGACCAGTATCGACAGTTTCCTTTGCCCACATATGACAAGAATGTCCTCTCTAAGCATTTCCTAGGTCCTCCAGCATAACTCTAGAGCATGCTTAAATCGGAAGTTCATGCTTGAGGATCCTCTCTAGGCATTTCTTAGGTCCTCCAGTGCAATACTCTGGTATGTTTCATTCATTAATCTGATCAGATTTCAGTTCTGAGAAATCTTGAAAAGAGCATCAAATCTACCCTGAATAAATCTTAGGAGAAGTGAAAAGCTAAAGATTTCGAGCTGAGGAGGCATAAGAAGAATTGTCCAGTTCCTTTTTAAGCATACATTTTTCAACCTACAGCTATCACTACTGCAGTGGTTGATCTTACCATGGAATCTTGATCTTCCAGTGTTCCCATTCATCATTATTCATTGTCTCTCATCCCCACCAGTCGCAGTGGCGAAGAAGGTGGGACCGAAAGCAGGGCCTCCCTGGAAGATCTTAATCTCTGAGCTGATTCATACGGGGAGATACATTTGGACAACTGGTAACATATACTAGTGTTAGATATGACAGGAAGGAGGCAAGGATCTTGCCAAAAGCACTAATGCTAGAATTTCCAAATACGTCATTACACAAGCGCAGAATAAACTATATGTATGTGTTCACAGATAACCAAGGAACATGTGGATTAGTTCTTAAACAATAAAACAATAAATAGTTTCCCCTTTAAAATTCTAGGCAAATATTACCTACTAAGATATGGCACAGTACAACCTTTGATGCAATAGATATGACCTTTGAATGCTTACCTTGTAGTTTCTTTCAGATTACACGGGATGTTAAAATTGCTGTTGAGATTCCACATTAAAAGGCCCTAGAGCTAATCTGACCATGATGATCACTGACAAAATAGCAAGCCAGTGGAAATCCATCTACCCGCAGAGAGCCTCAAATACACTTTGGCAGGATTAGCAAGACATCTTCAGTCTGGATTCAAAATCTAAGATGTTCACAAAAAATTTACTCTTTTGGAAAGTAGGGACTATGACTTTAATTTCACAACCTTGCTGATGACACAGAGCTACTATAGCAACTGCTTCACCAGCTTGATCTTGAGCCACTGGGGTTGGTGCTGCTGTGTTTGAGATAAAGTGCACAGTTCCAACTGCTCCGTCTTGGAAAGGATACAGAGCTGAAAAGGGTATAGAAAATGGCAACGAAAGGGAACTGGAATGACTTTGTTACACATGAGTAAAGCTATTTGGAGTGTGTTGAATGGGAGAGATGGGGAAATTAGCAGAAAAGATTTAACACTTTGATTACCTGTTCATGAATTCAATAACAATTTAATAACAGTTAATTCTCAATCCTTTTCTACTAAGTTTCCCATCTCTGTGTAAGTTATAACACTTCCTATAAAATTATGTCCCAAAGAAAATGGAGCAGAATGGCTTTTCTTCTTCCTAACAATAGAATTAAGGACAATCTGGATCTAAAACATCAAGGGCTTTATTACTCATAGCCTGCACTTGTTTTTTTGGAAATAGACCAGCATGCCAATGGGCTACATGGTGCTGTGAGTTGGAGTGTATTTAAACTGTATTTTCACTGTATTTTAACTTTTACACTCATGACATAAATACTTTGATTGTTTTTTTTAATTGTTATACTCATGTTCATTGCCTTGTTTTAAAATTCTATTGTATTATGTCATGTGATTGTTACCCTCCTTGAGTCACTATAGGGAGAAAGTCAAGATACTACTATTACTACTACTACTACTTTTACTACTAATAATAGTAGGCATTGAATGTTTGCCTATTTATGTAAATGCTGTAATCTGCTCTGAGTCCCCTAGGTGAGAAGGGCCTTCAGTGCCTTTACAATCATATACAATGACACACAAACAAAGGCAGAGACTTCTTTCATTTCTGGCTTCGGGAGACAGTGCTCATCTCTGGCTCTGGAGAGGTGCTTTCTCCATTTTCAAGCCGAGGAAACTATGTTGTCACCTCCTGGTTGTGTGGCCGACAAGATTGCTTGGAGCGTCTCTTTGCCTTTTCCTGCTGAAGTGGTACCTATTTGTCTACTCACATTTTCATGTTTTCAAACTACTAGGTTGTCAGGAACTGGAGCTTGACAGATCATCTAGCGCAGTGGTTCTCAACCTGGGGTCCCCAGATGTTTTTGGCCCACAACTCCCAGAAACCCTAATAGCTGGTAAACTAGCTGGGATTTCTGGGACTTGTAGGCAAAAAACATCTGGGGACCCCAGGTTGAGAACCACTGCGGGTGTGGATTCAAACTGCCAACCTTTAAATCAGCAGTTCAGCAGCACAATGGTTTAACCCATTGTGCTACCACAGCTCAAAATAAATAAAGTAAATAATAAATAAATAAATGACCTCAAGATGCTGAAAAGATGGATTCTTATTAGCTAAAAAGTCAAATGCATCTTGCCATGTCCCATTTTTGTCTTGTGGCTTTTATCTGGTGCTCCCCAATTTTTGGTTCTCCACAGTGTTTAGCACAGGTCTTTCCTATCATTTGCTACTTGGCAGTTTAGCTGGAGATGCCTCAGACTGAGGTCCCACCTACACTGACCATTTAATACAGTTCAAAGCTAGCTTCAAATAGCTAGACAAACTCCTACAAAAGCACATGAAAGCAAGCCCTTAATGTTCATCACTGCTCTGTTGTTCATGTAATGGCATCCAGGCCTCAATCTAGTCGCAGGATTTCCTGTGTCATCTGCACAGCGAAACCACGTTCTTCAATACTGGTTTGAAGCTGCATTAATGGTCAGTGTAGATGGGGCCTAAATCTGAACGCTTTGCATGCAAAATAGGTGATCAACCACTGAGCTGCTCCTCAAACAGGGTCTGACCTAGACAATGGAATCACTGTTGCAACTTCCTTCATTTTATTTTAAAAGAAAGGTTTTTCATTTGGTGGCAGATTTTTTTAAAGCAAGGCAGATTATCTGTTGCCTTAATCTCTGATCAAAGCACAGGTGTTTTCCTCCTCTCATACACTGAATGAAAGAGTATTTGTATAGTAACTTATTGTGGCCTCTACAGTGGGTGGACTTTAGTTCCTATTACAAAGATGTTAGGAAACAATAGGCAAACTAGTATCAGTATTGTAGTTGAATAGTGAATGAA